CTAGATAAAAAGCCTAAGTACAAGTAAGTGGTGGACATCTGATATAGAAAAAAGTTACAATATTAGTGAAACAAAACATTTAACTTTTTTTTGTTTTCCATCTCATATATTTATTTTACATGTAACTCCAACACTAACTTGCTGTTTGAGGGACAGCAGGACCACCTAATTCCTTCAACCTCACAGATATTAGTCCAGAGCAACCTTTTTTGTTATGGCAGGCAGGATGATGGGGCATTCTTTCATTCATGATGGTCCGTGTCTATCTGGTCTCTGCCCAGTCGCTATTGACGTGTTGCTTGGGGGCAACATATTGCTGACCTGGACATCCGACAGACAGTTGGGCTGGTATGTCTTACAATTTAATAACTTTCCCATGTAAATTGAGTTTACTATACAGTGTTTGGAGTAACACGCTTCAAAGTAAGGTGTTACAGTAATCAAATTAAATTGTATCTGTAACACAGTAGTTTAACTGGTTACTGTTGGTTCAGTAGTATTTACATTACAGTTACTAAGCACAAAATTATCTCGTTACTTGCGTTACTTTTAAGGTCTTCGACTATCACTATCTGCATAACGGGAGGGCAGAAAATCAAAATGTCTAAGTAATTTCTTTCAGCAATGAGTTACTAAGTAAAGTAAGGGATTACTGCTTTTTTAAGTAACTAGTAATGTGTAACGCATTACTTTGTTTGAGTTACTACCCCAACACTGACTAAATATCAATTAATCTGTTGATTATAATTATTTGATTACCAAAGCTTGATGGAGAAAGTCAGCTCAGTGAGTCTGATGTCAATGCATTGGCACTCACATGGGACCTCCCAGGGGTCACTGTGGACAACAGGAAATGGCTTTTCTACAGAATGCTGCAGATGGCGGTAAATACACACACACACACATTTATCAGCCTATTCATGAAGAAACATTACCCATGTCTACTGTATGTCTTCATAATATTATTGTCAAGCCTTAGTTTGTATCATGGCTTATTAGGACACCCAACATGTTATTGTAGGTCCAGTTTAATGCACTTCTTTTTTTACATATGGAGTCCCTNACATCCAACATGGCTGCTCTGCTCAATTAATCGTATTTTAATCGCAATTACGATTATGGCTTGCAACGATTACGAAAACAACGTAATCGAAATAAAACGATTATTTTTTTTATTAATATTATTAATTTTTTGTATTGGTTTTTCAGTTGAGTTATATTTAAAGTTCAGGATAATCAACTGTTAAAAACATACTGTTCACATTTTTTTTCTCAATAAATGGACGTTTTCAAAGTAAATGGATAATCGTTTTTTAATAATCGTGATATCAATTGTTGACCCAAAGAATCGAGATTATGATTTTTGCCATAATCGAGCAGCCCCACTCTGCTCCAATTAAAAACACGTTTCTTTTTAGCCACACAGTTCATGGAGTTTCATAGAAAGAATTCACTTTTATGATCCCCTCATATGTCACAATGCTAGCGGGTGTATTGTGCTTGGTTTGTGACTATCAGTTGTAAACAAATGGATTGTCAAATACTTTGAGACCGCCATACAGAGTATAATAACTCTTACTACTCCCCCCGCCCTCCCCTCGCCTCACCTCTGGTTCAGAGTGTCTGGGGAACAGCGAGGTGGTCAGGTACTTGTACAGGATCCTCATGTCCTCTTGTTCCAGTCCGCTCCTACAGACCAAACAAGGAGAAAATGAAATCGTCACAACACACAGTATTACGCATTACATTACAAATCCTGGCTCTGATACCAGTTTGGAGAGGGTTGTAAACAGGCTTTAATGAAACCCATACAGCTTAAGTTAGACAAAATGCAATAGCTTTTCTCGATTCTCTGCCAAAGCTCACTCTGTTCTAAAGTCATTTCATTACAAATCATGTAATCCCCCTGCGCTCACTCACACACAGAGCCAGGTGGCTGTCAGTGTTATTCAAAAGGCTAGTGACACGCCAGGAGGATTACAGGCTGTGTTTAGAGCCACCTCTGTTTACCCAGCATGCCACAATGTGCCTGTAGATGTTGCGTTGGATACGTGTAAGGTTGCGGCCTGAATTAACCCACAGGTGGATTTTTAAAAAAAGTGAGCAGGAACAAAGTGTGTACCAGATAAGCTGGTCGTTATACAGGAAGGCCGTGTATTTGATCAGACTGAGGCTCTCCTCCACTCGGTTGACGAAGGACTGGATCTTCAGGTAGGTCATCTTGTCCAGCGGGAAGAAGCTGATGCCTCCGAAAACATCCAGCAAATCGCAGGACTGCAAGTGGAGCGTCTGCAGATACTGGAAAACACAAAGTATTGGGGGACAGCCAAGAGACGCAGGAGAAAGGGGTTAGTTTACCCGCCTAACAAGTGCTTGCTTACAGTGTAATAAAAACAGAGGTATAAGAAACTCTCTGACTGACGCGCTTTGCAACATCCTGACATTCAACCTCTGATACGCACACCACGGCCTCTCTCTTTCTCTGTCGTTGGGTTACATGGAGGGGAGGGAAGCCTGTGTTAAACTTAAGGAGGGTATTCCCTAATATAAATAAATGTTTTATACTCTTGCATAAGTGTAATGCAACGCTGCACCGAGGTGAAATGAGACCAGGCAGACAGAAATATCTCAGGAAATGAGGCATGACTGCAAACATCTTCTCAGCAGCTTTACCCACGAGAGTATTTACAAAAGAAACAATGTCAATATCTTCAGAGGTGACCAGCCCTTCGGAAAACAATTACGATCAGGCTCGACTGACTTTTTATAAATAACTATCTGCGCATCCATTTCAATGAATCAAGCCGTCAAAGAAAGGTCAAGTTACTGAATGCAAAGTAAACAAACGTAATGACTTGTTACCCGGTAGAAGAACTTTTCAAGCTTCTGGATGAGCAGCTCCGCTCCTCCGGCCTCCACTGCTCTGCCAAACGTACCATTGAAGAGCTGCAAGAAAAAAAATCACTGTTAAGATGATATTCTTAATTGAAAATGCCTGAAAATTAAACACTGTAGGGGTGTAGGTCTCTATATACAAAAGTGGGAACATACAAAAATAGCAACATATTTAAAAGGGAAATATTATCCTAGTTTTCAGGTTCATATGTAGTGTCTCTACTGTGACATGTTTCCCTGCTTTAATGTTCAAAAAGCTCTTTATTTCTCTCATACTGCCTGTGCTGCAGCACCTCTTTTCACCCTCTGTCTGAAACCAGAGCCCAGTCTGCTCTGATTGGTTAGCTGGCCGGCTCTGTTGTGATTGGTCATCCACTTAGAGGTGTCCCGCCCCTTAACCTATCACGCAGACTGTGAAGGCTTCTCAAAACTCTAATTTCCCCTCCTTGACTCCTATCCTCTTAGTCCCGCCCACAGGAGATGCGAGCGGAGGAGTCGAGGAGGGGAACCGAGGAGAGAGGAGGGGAAGCAGCAGGCGGTTAGAGAAATGAGAACTCCTCTCCTCTGAGCGGTCATTTTAAAGAGACGTCCATTAATGATGACAGGAGGCACAGCAGCCCTCTGTCTGATGGACAGATGTGTTCATGACCACTTATATATTTACTTTGAATTCATTCACAGTGCGGTATAATGAGACAATAACAGGCTACAGATGTGGAAACACATATATATATTTACATAAATATATACAATTTCAGAATCCATCAAGTATGAGAGCACTCTCATAATAACGTAACAAAATCAGAGACTGGATATATCTCCCCCCCCCTCTCTCTGGTCGCTGAAATGGGGAATTGAAATTACGGGCCCAAAGTATTAAAAGGAAGCAGAGGACACCAAACCAAGTGAGACCCATCTGTCCGCCGCATCTACGCACTCACTGTACAACACACACCTACACACTGTACCACACACACCTACACACTGTACCACACACACACCTACACACTGTACCACACACACACACACCTACACACTGTACCACACACACNCACAATTTATATTTGACAGCAAACAATTAGTGTTTTTTCAAGACGTAGTAATTGTACATCTTAAGTTTGTCTGTCCGGAATGCCTTTTTTAACACAAAGATAAATCAAAACAGTAAAAGTACGAACATTAGGGAGTGATCAGGACTTCACAGTAAAATCATACGTTTGTAAAAATAAAATCTCTGCACACTAAGCCTGCATGTTGCTGCAGTGACGCGTCCTAAAACCCGGAAGTAAACTCCTTCCGGTTCCTTCGACAAAAACCCAATGCAATTTCTCGTGATCCGTCTCTTCAATGTGTCTCAACCAAAAACCTTATTTCCAGCTATTTTCCTAAATCCTGGAGAAATTGCATTGCTTTTTGGTAGAGATGTCCCGATCCGATCACGTGATCGGGGATCGGAGCCGATCACGTGATTTTCAAAAGATCGGAATCGGGAGGAAAAAAATCGGGAATCGGGATTTAAAAAGTTTTTTTTTTTTAAATACTTTATTTTTATTTTGTATTCAATGTTACAAAACAAAAATGTCCATGTTCAAGTCTTAAAGTCATCCTGAGGCCTTAGTTTTGGTTTCAAATTACACAACATCATGTATGTGTTGCTTCTTTGGGGCTTGTTTTCATAGACCTATTTCTCTCAAATCTGGCAACAGAGTGGGCAGGGCGCAGTGTCTAATTGTAGCAGTAAGCTAACGAGTACTGATAAGCTTTATTTTGTTTTGATCCAATGCTGCACAACTGAACTGATCCAATGCTGCTGTGAAAGAAAGAAGCTATATCCATGTTGGATAGAATATCCAATTTAAATAAAAAAAATAACCTTAAGGGACAACTTGAATGCTTTTTTTTCTCTTAATGCATTGCATAAAGATCGGATCGGGAAAAATCGGTATCGGCAAATTGTCAAAATCAAAAGATCGGAATCGGATCGGGAGCAAAAAAAGGTGATCGGGACATCCCTAATGGCAAGTCTTAATATGACGCCAAAGGGATAAATAAACACACCAGAAGGCACTCAGTCAGTATAATGTCATGGGAGATGCTGCTGTGGCTTTAAGGCTCTGCTTCTGTTTAGAGTACTGAACTCACCTTGTGAACTGTACGATGGCTTCACAAAGACCCACATTACGGATCTTTTCGTTTTTCTCCACTTCACTCGGGTGGTAAAACAAGATCTTCTTCTCTTCCTTGAAAACACAAGAATGCAACCTTGAATTACCCGAGTATAACCCGAGTAAACAGATACAGGTGTAAAACATGTGCTGAGCATTTCTGTATCACCTCTCCTTCCCGTGGTCCAAATGTTGGGTTGTAAACGAAGAAATTGAGCAGAGATGCCGTGAACTGTTTCTCTTGCATTCCTGAGGCCATCCTGGGACTGTAACGACACAGAGAGACAGCTGACAGACACTGATACACAGATAAAGCCCTCTATGTCAGCGTTGCATCATCACAATCACGCTTTACCTAATCATCAACATTAGTGGGACTTGTGTCTGGATTTCCTTTGCTCCAAAGACTGTTTGCTTAGCATGCCGTGTGCCTGCAGAGTGAAGAGAAATGACATCACATACTGTAACAGGACAGAGCTGGACGATAATAATAAACTACTACTAACAGGATTGTTTTTGGATTATAGGATTAAGATTATTAACCCCAAAAATCAGTTATCCAGCTATTGTTTTATCTGCAGATCTGGATTTGGTACAGGCAGAATTCCTGAAAAGGAGAATTGGTGTTTCCAGAGCCATGCATAAGACGAAAACATAAATCATATTCTTCAGAGCATTTTTGTGCACCTAGGGTCCTACGCAAAACTAAGGCAGTCTAAAAAACTGTAAAGTGTTTCTGATAAAGTCTACATGCTCTTAATACGATTGATAATTGTCAGTATAGGGCAAAACAATAAATCTGCGTCACATTATGGCCTCAAAGATTGATTTGATGAGGGTGCGCAAATATGATCACATCACCCCCATCCTTATTGCGAATTCAAGGTCTCCATCCTCACCCACCAGTGTATCCATGGGACTACCCCTCCCTACCTCAAGGAACTCCTCACCCCCCATACCTCCTTGCGGACCACCCGCTCCAGCAACTCCAACCTCCTCAAACCCCCCAGGACTAAGCTCCGTACTATGGGAGACCGGGCCTTCTGCTCGGCGGCTCCCAGTCTGTGGAACGCTCTCCCCGACCGCATGAGAGCACCACAGACCGTGGGAGCTTTTTAAAAAAGGCCTCAAAACCCATCTGTTGAACAGAGCCTTTCCCTAGACCTTTTATCTATTACCACCCTTTTATTTTTATTTTATTGTTTGTTTTTTATTGCTATTTATTGATTCTACCGTGTTGTGTACTGTTTTTATACTGTTCATGCTCACTGCTTGTAGCACTTCTCGATTTGAAGTGCTTTATAAATGAAACCCATTATTATTATTATTCAAAGGAAGACGTAAAGTTGAATGTAAAACAAAAACTATGCATAAGCTTCATGTAAGAAGGAGTTATTATTGCAGGGCTGTTGTAATAGACTGCATTAGCTGTAGGTTAAATCAACTGTAAATGTAATGCAATTTTTTTCGAGTAAAATGCACCAAGGCTGCCTTAAAAATACATTACTACCTGGGAAGTATTTTAATGTTTTGCTGATCCACAGCATTAGGTACCCTAACTACAACAAGTTATTAAGGTTTTGAATATATTTTATTGTTAAAAGTTTAACTTGTAAGTAAGCTAGCAGCCATAAGATATATAAGGAAAAGCTTACGTATGTTTATCTTCCCTTTGGTACAGTATCTGAATAACCACAATTCAATACGTTGTACCTCTGCATCAAATACATGTTTTAGTCTGCTAGCCGTTTTATGTTCTGTCATTGCTGTTGTTTACACTCATTGTAAACAACACCGTGACTGCTCTGGTTAAGCCTGTGAAGTATGTGCGCGCTAAACTAAACCCTGAAGAGGAGAAACACCTCTTTACACACTTGCTGTTTTTTAAATTACGACTTTAATAAGTTAAGTGATGTTATGTTAAATGTTTGTTTTCCTTGTATCGTGTCTTATTATTTGTCCTTGTCTGATGTTGCGAATGGAGCTGTTGTGATGCAGGTAACATGTCAGACTTGATCTAACAACAAATTACTGTATTTCTTTGCTTTTACAAACACATAGCGTTGTTTCTGTATGTTAACAAGTACAACCAGTTAACAGTAACCGTTAAAAAGCCAGTTAACGACAGTTGTTATGGCAATTTGACCGTTGAGCAGCTAGTTAGCCGCTTAGCTTCAATGCTAACATTGAGTTGTGTTTTCCGTTGGGGGAAAACTGAGTGACAGAAAGAACACGAAGGTAGCACTCACCTCACAGAGCCAAGACCCAACACCTGCATATCCTTGTGTTTAGAGATTGTGTTAATTATAATAAATAATGAGTAAATGAGATCAATGAGAGGAGATGCCGCATTATAATTTACATTCTTAACTTCCTGCTTTTGACAGCGCGGTGTCACATATTGTACTGTCCGTGTACCAAATAAAGACAAATAAAGGTTCCTACTTCATATCAGTGAATTCATAATGTTGTTTTGAGTCTAGGGAGAAAGTCAAATTAATTATGTGTTATCTATTTCGCCAAAATCATTTAGCTTGATATAAAAAAATCCTACAACATTTGTTGTGATTGGTCTAAACTAAAGTATTGTACTCTATGGACATACTTTGGGAATGTATCCAACAGTATGACGTTTGATATTTTCACATCACAACAAAAATCACACTTTTTAATCAAGATTAAAAGTCAGGAAGATATTATGGGAACATTTAAAAAAGTTACAATTGTGTTTGATATATCTTTCATATGATTTTGGTTTTTATGTGTTTACTCAGCATGTGTGCATATTTGACATTCATGTTATGAGTTTATAGATACCAACTTTTTGATTTTACTCTTTGCTGTTTCTTAGATACAGCCATATTCACATAATATTGTGCTTTGGCTACATGAGACCACTGTTTTATAACCTTACATTTTATGAAATAAAACAGTAGTCAAGGATGTGGTTTCATACACTAATGTTTGGTTTAAGCTTCTAAGTATTGGGAGTTGTTCATGCTCTTGTTTGCAAAGAGGTTAAAGTACTCACGTTAAACTCTGGATTACAGTGACGCTATTAACCCCTATCAATCGTAACCAAGCTAAACATTTGCTTTGTCTCAATAAAACTTAGTCCTGGGCCTTCTCTTGTTTGATCTTGCGTTTGATTACATCCTCGTACAACTCCTCTATTGTGTGCTGTGCTGTTTGGTTGGATTAGTTAACAAATCAAGAATACTATACTTTTGGAAGGACCTGGTCATTTTTTTGTATTTCCTTGTTTCAAATTATACCACAATGTACCTAGTTTGCAGCATCTTGCACTGAAGCATTTTCTTTGATATGTGTTATTTAGAAATGCAACAAAAACTCCTGTGATGCTTTTATTCCCTGCTCTCACTTTTATGGGTTATGCTTTTGAGGAATCAGCTACTATTTAAGTACATTCATGCATTCTTTTTGCACGTTAATGGCGTATTATATGAGTGAGGTTTTAATAATGTTAACCTGTTTAACCAAGAAGAAGTGAACACAAAGAAGTGATCTGTGTTTCCACACGTTTATTCATCTCATTCATTGACAGAGGTGGGGTGTGCACAGTGTTTTCCAAGTGGAAAAAGACACATTGACAGTCTGTTGTCTTTAACTGGACACAGTGTCTGGAAAAACAATTAGGCCACACATAAGTTAGTAGAAAACAAAATAAATCACTGGGAGTGGAGGATCTTTAGACTCCAGAGGCGAGGAGAGGGCTGCAGACCTGAAGGCTTGAGCTGTTTTCATGGGAAAAACTCAGGACTGCACCATGGTCTGGAACTCTACAGGAAGAAAGGCATGTTAAAACGGACCTTAATGTTAATCACATGCACAAATAATCACTGAATGCAATGGTCCACATTTTTGGATTGTCCAAATCCTTTATCCTATTATGTAAGAAAGCTAAACTCAGATTTTGTTGGTAACTGTAGGATTGGAAAAAACATTTTAAGTACTCACTGTTGGTAACAAACGTTAAAGAAAGAAATAAGAGTTGTATCTCTGAGCTCCAAAGTAACAATGCTACAGTACAAACAACAGTATGTCTATAAACCTATAGTTTAAAAGTCTAACGCATCTTATAATGAAGATTTAATCAGATCACAAACACTAGCTGCTATTACGGATGCGCACGTACTTAAACTGATCATGATAAGCAATGCTAATGCAGACAAGTTATGCCTGTTATTCTTGGTCAGTCTTTCTGTTAGCAAACAGTACACAGTGTTAACGTTCAATCCAAAAAGTTGTTCGCATCAGGAATGATTCAAGATGTCCAAAGTCTCATTGTATTTCATCTAACAAAAGACTAGCTATACTAAACTTATATGCATGTTTTCTGTTCCCCCAAAACACACAGTTCTCCTACATTTGAACCCAGGTGCCGCAGTAAAGTGAAGCCTTAAATGTTGCCTTTAGTTTTTAAACGCATGTAAATTCTCACCCGATTTTATTTCAAGAGTTAAAAGTAAAGGATCAAATGAATGCAATGCTTTCTAGCATGTTTCGTTAATGTGAACGAAGTAAATCATAACATTTAGACAGATGTATCTCATAATGTCCAGGTAACAAGTGCTCTAAGCTGCATTCAAAAAAGCTGTCTCTGTTTGACTTAAACAAACAATTCCAACTAATGCGATAACTCCTGCCTGCATCATGAGTTTGTCTGAATGCAATCTGAGAAATCAGACACCGACCCTCTGCTCCAATTCTGCCGTCACTGTCATCATCAGCTGCTGAGATGAAGGTCTTGGTTTCTGCCTCGCTCAGTGTCCGCGCCTCGGGGACAAACCGCTGCAAGAAGAACCTACTCACACACACACACACACACACACACACACACACACACACACACACACACACACACACACACACACACACACACATTTTGAGTAAGTTGACAGAAAGTATTAGTAGACAATAGACCTTTTCTGGTGTGCCTCTTGTGTTCAGTTAAAATTGTTTGATAAAAGATGGTTTGAAATTACTTTTATTTTATTTAATTAAAGAAAAACAATTATCGATAAAACGATATCCTTATCATTACCCATATCCCATATCATGCCACCTTATTCCTAAATGCACGGCTTGTGTCGTCCTTTAAGGTTGAATAACATAACACTAAGGCAATAACAAGCTTTGCTCATTGTGGACAGCTTAATGGTGCCATCCCAATCATACCACTGTGTGACGTCATGTACTAAATCCTTCCTTCTGTCACACACACACATTTCCTGAGGAAGTAGGGTCTAAGTCAGGAACTCAGTGTAAATTATTTTACCGGTAAATGATGTTAGTTGAAGAAACCTTTTGGATAGAGGAAGATATATGATTCTTTCCAGTGCATTTTTGTGAATTAAGGCACCAATACATTACATAATCAGAAGGTAATCAATGGTTAGTGTATTACATCATCATCATACATCCCAAATCTATGTTTCACACACTTGAGCTCAGACTCCTCGATGAAGCCGCTGTTGTCCTCGTCGAGAATCTGGAAGACATCTTTGACTTCCTGGGGCGTCTTTGAGGACAGGCCACACAGCTTGAAGAACTTTTTGTAGCAGAATGACTCCGGAGCTGCAAAACACAAAGTCAAACACAACCCTAGACTTAAAAAAAAAAAATAGCTGACCCATGAGGTTCCGCAGGGTGGAAGCTGATATAGAGATTAAACACATGGCTGCAGTCCAGGTGGGAGATTTTCTAGCTGTGTTTTTATCTTTTAAATCCAGGAGACAGGAGATTGAAACCCCTTGGAAATGCAGTCTAAGCTTTCGATGGCTTTAGTGGAGAAGATAATGTACAATATGAGAACAATACAGCCAAGATAATAATATCGGAGAGTGTTTCTAAGATCTCACTCTTGACTCCGATTAGAAGTAGGTTGATTAATCACTTGTGGTTGGGAATTATTGTGCATTTTATTATAATTAAGTTTGGCTTTAGTAAGTTAAAGATAAAGCTATTATCTTAATTCTGAAGTTGTGGATTCAGCATAATTTGCTTGCGCATGGCACATCTATGAATAATAAGTGGCTTAAAAAATGGGTAAGGCAGGCAGGCAGTGTGTGTGTGTGTGTGTGTTGTGTGTGTGTTGTGTGTGTGTGTGTGTGTGTGTGTGTGTGTGTGTGTGTGTGTGTGTGTGTGTGTGTGTGTGTGTGTGTGTGTATGTGCAGTGTGTGTGTGTGTGTGTGTGTGTGTGTGTGTTGTTGTGTGTGTTGTAACTTGTGTGTGTGTTGTGTGTGTTGTGTGTGTGTGTGTTGTGTTTGTTGTGTGTGTGTGTGCAGTGTGTGTGTGTGTGTGTATGTGTGTGTGTGTGTGTGTGTGTGTGTGTGTGTGTGTGTGTGTGTGTGTGTGTGTGTGTGTGTGTGTGTGTGTGTGTGTATGTGTGAGAGAGAGAGAGAGAGAGAGAGAGGAGATACCTTGACAGTCCTTGATAGCGTTTTCAATGGCCTCAGCCGAAAGAATGGAGGTGAGCGACATGTTGGTCCTGAAGGGTCAAAGAAAAGCTCTGTAAATTATTCACACACACACACACACACACACACACACACACACACACACACACACACACACACACACACACACACACACACACACACACACACACACACACACACTCTTGCAGACCTAGGTTAATATCATGATCCTTTTAACTGCAGTCATAGTGGTTTTGCCAAAAATGCTGAAGTTTCCAGAAAAAGGAGAACGGAATTAAGTAAAAATACAGCTCACATGTTTAAAGAATATACTCTTTGCTACCAGTGTGTTTTCCTTTTCATAAAGTCATAATAATTACGTTATGTGCTATGTGTGATTCATTAGGCTTCCTGGTTGGAGTTCCCCTGGCGCCTCATAATTACTGATGTTATTTGCTCCGCTTAATTGGATTTGCAAGGCTGTGCAGGAAAATTGGCACTTGGGGACTGTATGAAAATGATTTGGGTGGGAAGGTGGGGGTGAGCTTATATTCTATTATATGGAAACAAATTCAAAACCCTGACAGTGTCATTATCATTTGGTCCCTTCTCATGAAATATGTTTGCACAAGTACAATATTTACAAATGAATACACATAGAATCAGAGAGTGTTGAAACATCCTCTCCTGCTCTTCAAACTATTATACACTGCTCTTTCTTGAACAAAAAATTAAACTGTACAACATTCATCTGCTACTTAGGAATTATTTATCTATTTTCTTCCCTTTTTAAAACTATTTTTATTTTTGTATTTACTATTTACTCGCACTATATTTCTCTGTTTATCTGTTATTGTGTTGCACTGTTGGAGAAGCCTGTGACCTAAGATTTTCATCGGCATAACTACACTGTAGGTTCGGATGACAAAATAAAAATCCTTGAACCTTGAAATGTC